TTACTAAGACATATTATTGGAGATATAGAGTGACGACTGATATTTAGATCATTTTATGTAAGTATATACTTCTATACTGTTATAAAGATCTCATTGATTTACAACACAAGCATCATATTGAATCTCTGAATACAATTGAGCTGTTTTTTCCTCCATATTCTCACTATATCAGAACATAAGAGCCAGAAAAACCTGATGGATCAAATATGATACTCAACAATATTTTGTCTATAAACTGTTCCATTTCAAAACATTAGATTTTTCAGACTATTATGTCATGTCAGGGTTTAGACGAGGGTTAATCTCTGGCCAAAAACGATAATATATGATCCGTAATCATAGCCTGAAAGGGTTAATCTCAGTCTGGGTCACTAAGCCTCAGTTCCGGGCAAAAGGGCATCTTCTCCAAAACACCGACACAAGTGGGCAAACAGCAGAATCAGTTTCACGCTTCCACATTCTGAAACATCCAGTTGTGCAATGACAACATGTGTGGCAAATTCAGCTTCCATGCCTTCATTTCCTTTGGATTTAAGACTAATTGATGACTAATTGCTGTAGGTGTTGGCCGATAGCTCATCATTTTGGGGAATGTACAGATATGATTCAGTGTATCTGACACATTGATTCAGCTTCTACCTTTATAGCAGCGTGAAGGCGTCTTCACAGACTCGGAGCTGATTTTAGGTCACTGATTAAGGCTTCTGAAACCGTGAGGGTTAAAAATAGAGCTCCACACCCGACTGACCGAGCGGATGCAGAGCAGCGTGAATCATCTTTGATGGACTCAAAACCAACAGGATGCTGGTGCAACTATGACATACAGCTGAAGAGTTTTTTCAGACAAAAAATAGTGGTTTTGTTTGTCATTATTGGAGCATATTGATAGTTAATGTGTTTCTCGACAACTTTGAGGAGAACCGACTTCAAGCACCCACTAAAAATCACCAAAGCACCGAGACAAATGAAGTTATTTCTACACAAAAAGAAGCTCTGATGTCAGAAACGGGGACCAGAACCGATGCAAATACAGCATATGGACTCTGTATTTTTTAAATAAAGTATATAAAATTTTTAAATAAATTAATAATAATAAAACATTAAAATATATTATAATAATGGTAAATAATATAATAATAATAATAATACATTATTTTTAATGGAATCTATCTAATTATAAAAATAAAATATTATTAAATATTTTGAAACATCATAAAAATGAAATGTGTAATATACATAATATATTATACAATAAAGATGTATAAGAATGAAAATAATGATCTCTTTCTCGCTCTATATACAGTGGGTACGGAAAGTATTCAGACCCCCTTAAATTTTTCACTCTTTGTTATATTGCAGCCATTTGCTAAAATCATTTATGTTAATTTTTTTTCCTCATTAATGTACACACAGCACCCCATATTATACATAAATACATTTATACAAAAAGCAAGCAAAAACGAACGAAGACGTTCCAGTTGTGTAGTGTGTTATGAAGCAGACTGTCTTACAGGAGAAAGTAGCATGTTTGTTGCCAAGGAAACCAGAGACTCCGTTGCTATGGTGACGGAGTGGGCGTGGCCTAGGCTGAGGTGTCAAAGAGCTTGTCAATCATCTCCTCCACCTGCTCCGGTGAGTAGCGGTGGTACTTCTCTGGGTTTTTGGTGAATGAGATGTTCGCGCATCTGTAAGAGCATATAAACATGAGCTCAGTGCAGCTGTAGATCACACATCAGCTGTGTTCTGATTGGCTGGTAAGTGTGTGTGAAGGTCTCACCGCTGAAGGAAGGCTCTGTACGCCTCGGAAACCACTCTCTTCTCAGCCTGACGGATGGCGTCCCGCTGCTCTTTATCAGGAACCGCCCAGCCCTGCTGGATCTTGCACAGCTCCTCCAGACCCTCATTAAAACCCTGCAAACACACACAACACAAAGCCTGGTTTGCATGTGCTTTCTGTTGACTATCATATTTGATGCATCAGGCTTTTCTGGCTCATTGATGATTGAGAGATGAAGAAATAAATGTTGCTCAATAGATCCTGATGATCATATTTGAGACTGATTTTTCTAAAAAACTATTGATGGGGAATTAAGCAAAGCCGAGCTGCTTCAGTCCAGTAAGTTAAAGTGTTCCTCTCACCTTGAACTTGTCCTTGATGATCTGTCGTTCCTTGTCTTTGAGCTGCTCATGTGAAAACATTCAGAGAGCAGGATTAAACTGAGATCATTACATAATGATGAACCATTTTCAACAAAATACTGTAGCTGAACGCAGAAGCTTTCATGCATCACTGCATTCCTAACTGCATCAGAACGGCTGTATAATAAAACATTAACTCAGTATAACATAACAAATATTAACAAAAAGAATAAAGTATATCAAAAAATAGTAAAAATAGCATATTAATGACACTACAATAAAACTGCATTTGTGTATTTGAGTAAATTATGTTTCTGGTCTAGTTATGTGTGTGTGTGTGTGTATGTGTGTGTATGTGTGTGTGTGTGTGTGTATGTGTGTGTGTGTATGTGTGTGTGTGTGTGTGTGTATGTGTGTATATGTGTGTGCATGTGTGTGTGTGTGTGTGTATGTATGTGTGTGTGTGTATATGTGTGTGTGTGTGTGTGTGTATGTGTGT